TCAAGGAGCCTGAGCAGAGGCACGGGGTCACTGTGGATTTCGTGGGAGCAGTGTAGAGCATCAGGGGAGCTGCTGATTTGGAGGCCAACCCCCCTTCTACATCAGCCAGTAAGCGAGATGTGATGGAGTGGGGATATCAAACTGAATTTCTGTCACTAGTGCAGCAGCAGCCATGTAGGTAGTGAGCTGACCCTTTTGTTTTTATCCTATTTCATATGCTTAGCTCTGGCCCAGCATGTAGGTTGTCATTCTGGGCAGGGGGGCTGCAGCATTAATGTGTGACTGAGCCACACATTAATGCTGGGTGGCCACCACTGCCCCCTCAGTTCAACCCCTTGAGCACGTTATTCATGGTGAGCGCTAAGCCTGCACGTTATGGTGGGGCAGCTTTGTTGTATGTGGAACGTAACATTTATATTGTACGGAATGACTAGTGCAGCCCCTGCCTCTCTTGTGAATGCGGGAGAAGGACCGTGTCTGTTGGGATTTGTAGCAAAAGGCAACCAGGGTTTGGTTAACTAATCGTTCTGTAATTGTTTTAACGGGTGTCTGCACCTCCCTCGGGAAGGAAGGAAGCACAGCGGTGATGAGAGCACCTCCAGGCAACATCCCCAAAACCCCTGTAAGTATAACCTTAGCGACGCATACACAGGAGAGAGGAGAGGGATAGTGGGGGAGCAGTGGAGAGCAGAGCATCGCCACCCTGGAAGCCTGAGGGGGTAGGGCCATGAAGGACATTGCACATGTGGTATGGGGTGTATTTTGTAACAACCCCTAGCACGTATAAGGGACAAAAACCAGCAATAAAATCACAGACCTCTATTAATTAGAAACTTATCTGTAGTAGTGCTTAGGAGCCCTGGTCACAGACTTAGCCCCCACTGTGATAGGTGTTATATAAACAAAAAGATGGTCACTGTCCCCGAGAGCCATAAGCCAGACTGGGGGCCCATTGTCAGCTGGCCCACTTGAGTCAGAGAGCTGTTCCCCCACAGCTGTGGTGAGACAAGTAACACTTTCCCACAGGGTTGTGCAGGGCAAAAGCTCAGGAGGGGAGTTGCAAGTGCTGCAGTGTTAAAATGTTTTCTTTTTCCTATTCTCTTCCAGATCCTGTGTAAAATGAAAACTACAGTGTCCCCTGTGGATTTACCCTTGCTACCTTTTTTTTTCTGTTGATTTTTTTTTCTGCATGAACAGAAACAAATACATTGCTGATTGCTTCACCTGGACTGTGTGGTGTGTTTCTTTCCATAGTAATTTGTGGGTGGGTGGATACGTCAGGTAACACTTTAGAAATCCCTTGTAAAGAAAGGATTCAGAGCAGCCTCCAAAGGGAAGCCTCACCTGAGGGTGCAGTATTCATACAGCATCTTCCAAGAGAGAGACAAATGTGAATGGATCCCTGTGAGGTGGGTAGGTATTCTAACTCCATTTTACTTGGAGAAACTGAGGCATGAAGACAAGAGACCTGCCATGGCTACACACGGGGGCTCTGATTCTGCTGCTGTTCATGTTAATGGGCACACAAGCTGGCCTTACCTCAGTAGTAACATGGGAGTTTCTTCCTCCTCTGTTTTTCACCCTAAAGAGAGCCCCAAGCCAGACTGTTCCATCTTCAGCAATAACAATACACACCCTCCGTGTTTGTATTTCTTTCTGTGTGGGCAAGTGTCCATTGGCTTGAGCAGAACACATAGCCATGTCTAGTGACTTCTTGCCAAGGCCCAGGAGCTCCTGTGGACAGAGCAGTGATTAACCTTTTGTGTGATGCATGATCAAAGGTTTGATGAAACAGAAAATGACAGAACATAGTTGTGTTTGGTGTATCCTACACCTTTCATAATGAAATTGTGGGGAAGAAACAAAATCTAACATTAGTAGAACAAAGCTTTTGATTTGAATAAAGCCCTAAATGCTCAAGCCTGGTTCTTTAATGTTTTGTGGTAGTGTGTTTTTATGATGCAATACAAACTGTTTCCTTTAAAAAAAATTTTGTCATTGCAATGTACTGTGCAGTTAGTGGAACTGTAACTTTGAAATGTAAAGATAAGGCATTTGTTTGAATCATGTACTCTATAGCTTAATGCATTCAGTCTTAAATTAAATACAATTTTTTCTCTTTTTCAGACTTAACCAACATAATGACTTCTACATGTTAAGGGAAAACACAAGAAGGTTACGTGTTTGGTTGTCTAATATTCTTGGATTTGATATGAGTCAGCACATCTGTTCATTGGTATCATCAACAACATCCCAGTTTGTATGCACATTATTCACATTCCTATCTGTTGTGTTTGCAGAAATTACATTTTATCCTTTTTCTAAGGAATATCTTTTGATTTTCATGTTATTTGGTTGCATGGAGTTGCCTTTTTCCCGTGACTGAGGTTTATGGAGACATTGCAGAGTTGTACATTTGGTAAAAACCTTTTCTAAAGAGAAAAGGCAGAAACTCCAAATTAAATTGCCCAAAATCTGTGTTTTTTTGTAAAACAAGCAAACCTTAGGAATTGAGAGTGCCCTACATGCAAGCCCACAAGAATTTATTCCACCTATAAACATAACTTTAAATTACACTATATCCACCTTTCTTGTTTTTTGATTCACCTACGAAATGAAAGAAAAATTCTTCAGCTGAGATCATTGCAAAGGTCAATACTGTAATAGAATATCTTTCCTTCTTAGAATTACCTAGATAGTTATACTCATTAATATTTCTCAAAATCACGATGTAATGTACACTATCTGGCTTAGTACCTATATGTGGAGTTAGTGAAAGTATTTTTGTGTTTCTTTACATTAATTCAAAGATTTTTTCCAATGTCAACACAATTTGAGCTCATTCATTTGGATGCTTTCCATTTTTAAGCTCATTGTGATACAGAAACCCTATTAAACCAAACCAAAACATCAAATTTTCAGTATTGAAAGGCTTAAAAAAATGATCCTGTCATTCTTCTGTTTTGGGATTTTTTTTTTAATTTTGGAAATAGACCTAGACTAGGAAGTAAGCATTCCAAAACCATTATTCTGTGTACATTATTGTTGCTATTGTGATAATAGAGAATTTTATTTATTTTTATGCCAGCTTTTATTGTGAAAACATATTTAGTCTGGTTTTATCAATCCTTGTTATGCTTGTCCTTGGAACATCTTTTGCGTATTCAAGGTTTGTAGTTGACAAGTTTACTGTAAAAAACAAAACAAAAAACAAACAAAAACAAAAATGTATTGTTTTTACAGAATAAATTTATTGGAATGTGTATTGGGAGTAAGGTTTGAGGTTGTAAGCAAGTAAGTTAGCGTCATATTTGGCTTCATACGTGTAATAATGTGAGGTATTAATGTAACTCAAGTATTAAAGCAAAACATTCTGTTAACACTGAGTTGACAATAATAGATACAAGTCTAGGTGAGATCTTTTTTTTTCCCCTGTACATTGCTTTTTTTTCCTCTGGAAAACAGGAGCTTATTAAATTCACCTTGACCATATTCAAAGTTTCTTTGAAAGCACTAGAAGAAAGCACACTGGGAATATGATACCTGTTTGTGAGACAGTATATCCTACTATGGCTGAACAGCTCTTGTTTTGTTTTCTTGGGGAGAATGTGCTGGATGGAACTGGCTGACCTGAATTCAGATGTATAGGGAGGACTTCACACCCAGGAGGTAAATGTTATGAACTCCTTTCTCCCAGTCAGACATGTGCTACAAGGTGGGTGGGGTAATATCTTTTATGGAACCGATGTCTGTTGGTAAAAGAGACCAACTTTGAAGCTCCACAGAGCTCCCCATCCCATAAATGATGTTGCCTCACCCATCTTTGTCATACCCAGGGACCAACACACCACCTACAACAACACTGCAACCAACACATACTATGGTAGTTGTGCATCCTGCCCCTTTGGCAAGAGCTGTAAAGCGTAAAAGTGTAGATGCCCTCTTCTGACTACTTCTGTGAACTGCCCCTCTGGGTTTGACATTCTTCAGTTAGGCTACGTCTAGACTGGCCACATAAGACGGAATAGGCATGCAAAGCAGGCAAGTCAGAATAGGGAAATCCGCGGGGGATTTAAATATCTCCCGCCGGATTTAAATAAACATGGCCGCCGCTTTTTTTCCAGCTTGGGGAAAAGCCGGAAAAGAGCGTCTAGACTGGCGCGATCCTCCGGAATAAAGCCCTTTTCCGGAGGATCTCTTATTCCTACTTGCAAGGGATATATAAATCCCCCGCGGATTTCCCTATTCTGACTTGCCTGCTTTGCATGCCTATTCCGTCTTATGTGGCCAGTCTAGACGTCGCTCGCCTTTATTGATCAGAAGTTCTGAAAGTCCCCCTCCCCATTTAGGTTGAAACGTACACATACAGGAGCCGGCACTGACTATAAAAAAGAAAAAAGAACCCTGCAAATTTAGAACTTCTGAAACACCCAAGCATGAAATGTTTCCAGTTAAGTTTACCCTCTATTTTCACCCATAAAAGAGACAGAAGTGTTCTATTTTTAGTATAAAGATATTCAGATGTAATAGAAATACTTCTAACTGCAAATAGAAACATAAGCTCCACCAACCAAGGCCTTATTAAATTTTATATTAGCTGCTGCTTTTTTATAGCAAAATATCAGAAGCAAAAGCAGCAATGCAGAGAAGTACAGTGGAAAAACTCCTCTCTGAAAACACATGGAAGTATTTAAGGCAGAAGTGGGCAATAAAAAAATGGCAGCCTGCAGGGTTAGTCCCTGGTGAGCCGCTGCCATTATGTTTACCTGCACCTCCTCAGGTATCAGAGGATCGCAGGTAAAATGGAGATGGGGGCCCACCAGGGACTAACCTTGTGGACTAGATCCAGCCTCCTGGCTGGAATTTGCCCACCCCTGATTTAAGGCCTGTATTCTCCAAAGAGCTGCACACTCAAACCCCCGCTCCAGCAATGCAGTTTAACATATGCTTACAGTTAAGCATATGAACAGTCCTGTCAATTTCAGAGATTAAGCATGTGCTTACATGCTTTGCTGGATGAGACCTGGAGTGCTCAGCATGGAGCAGATTGAATACTTAAGCAGCATTTCCACAATCACATGATTTGCCTTTCACATATAGAGAGTCGTCTTTAAAAGATGTCTTGGGATTTTTAACAGGGCTTACCTGCAAGAAATAGTTTTTGATCATTAAAACATGTGTACATAACCATGTTATGTACACTAATTGTTTACATATACAAATATTAACTCAAACAATACACAATCATTTTATGAGAGTTGGTAATGCTGAAATAATTCAGCCTGTTACACCTGAGGGAATTCTATGCTAAAGAATGAAAAATTCTGCAAAATGTGGCATTTTTTCTTTGTCCAGATAACACTATATAATCATGCCAGTTTCAATTATTTTGATAATTTATTTCGACATACCTGTCAGCAAGTACATGTGTAACAGGAGTAGAGAGTTAAAGAAACTCCTAAGGCAACTTGGTTCCTCTTTCTCTGCTCCCTCCCCACAGAGCCCAATGGGTCCAGACTCTCACAACCCCTAGCATACACCAAGCCCAGCCATCCTCCCTAATGCAGACACACACACTCCTTCCCCCCTCCAGAGCCCAGCCGTGGGCTGCCTCTCCCCTGGTTCAGACACTCAATCTTTTACCCATACACCCTAGACATTCAAAAGGAGAAACAGCCTGATGCTGGGACCCATCTCCTGGTCTTGTATGGCATTTCCTGCATGCTGCTGCCTTCTTCCTTCGGGCATGTAGCTGCTGGGAAGCCTCCAGTTCCCTCCTCCTCCCTCCACTCTTGTCTTCTATTTATAGGCTGGGCTTTGTTGGGTCCAGCAGCCCCCCTAAGGATGGTGAACAGTCCTGCAGCCCATTTCTTTGGGGGGAAAAGGAAATTCTGCACACCTCCCATTAATTTCTACAAAATTCTGCATTGTGCAGTGGTGCTGAGTTTTTCCAAGAGTAGTCTGTGCAAGCAGAACATTGAAGTAATTATTACTTAACTTCATGTGGTTGTAATAAAAAAAACCCACAAAGCTTACTCTTCTCAAGAATAGCTTTAGAAATTATCTCCAGGACAGAGTAAAAGCAAACTGTTGAGAAGCATTAATTGAAGGCAGTTGCCTTTATTTTCTCTCTTTACATTAAGGATACACACACTTTTGATAAGCCAAATGTCATTTGGATTCTGTAAGAGACTCCAGTTACATCAGAAAACAAGTATATACATAGCAAAAAGGAAGAAGTGGAAGCAGTCTTTCTATTGAGCTTTTTCTTCTTCTTCTTCTTCTTTTGCTTTCATAAAAAACTCTGGTTTGTTGACACACCTATAAGCCAGCAGCTGGGGAAGGAGTCCATATACTATATTTAGTACTAGAAAACAGAATTTTGCTTCTTCGGGGACTCTGTAGATATAAGGCGTTCGAGCATGAAGAGAAGCACCAATATGGGAAAACTGAGCCTGTGGCAGATATATACATATAAAAGACTGGGTAAGCATGATATATATTTTGGAATGACATTACTATGATCACATACATATATTATCAATAACATTTTTGAGCAACACACTTTATGCTTGAATCCCAATCCTCCATCATTCTTTAGGACTTCAGTATAAAAATACTCTCTGATCTGAAGTCTTTGCCTTGATATAATACAAATAAATTTCCATGTGCAGCAGGACCAACAGCCATCATAGGTTCCAGGGCAAGGTGTGGGGGGAGCCTCAGGCAGAAAGGGCGGGGCCAGAAGCAGTCAGCCCTCAGCACCACCCAGACGATGGCATGTCCCACCCTCAGCCCTCACAGCTGTGCAGAGCAGCACTCCAGCACCAATTCAAAGGGGTCCAAGGCTCCAGCCACTGCCACAGTAGCAACAGCGGTGACCGGGAGCTCCAAACCCTTTGAATCTCTGGCCCTATGTGATAGCAGCCCCTGTATTTGTGAACAAGTTCAGTATTTTCTGCCAGACCCCATTCATGTAGCAGGGGCCATGTAAAGTCCCAGTGAAGTCCTCATGAGCACAGAGGTCTGCACTAATAGATCCCAATGCAGTTTCGAGTGTACAGATTTTGCTTCATGCCCACAGAAGGGCACAAGATGAATACGGCCTATGTGCTTTGTTCTAATATACCATCTTCTGCAAAGAGGTCACCTAGAGCCGGGGTGGGGAACCTAAGGCCTGGGGGCCAGAGGTGGCCCCTGGCTTTCTTGGACCTAGTTCCCGAGACTCAAGGCTCACCCTGAGCATTAGGGAATCTACGCTGGTGCTCCAGCCGCCCTTCAAGCTCCTCCCATTCAGGGCTAGAGAACACAGAATCTACTAGTCTGAGCCCCCCAGGTTTAGCTGTGCGTGGGGGAATGTGGGAAGTACCTTTCTCCTTCTCATTCAAGTGCCATGTCAGTGAGGGTGTAGGTGGGTTTTTTGTTTGTTTCTTACTTGTGTGTGGCCCCCAATTGTTTTGTGGGTCAGTGGCCACCAACCCCAAAAAAGTTGCCCACCCCGACCTAGAGAATGTACATTAAAATAGGAAAGGACCTAGTAGTTTCAGTATCTATAACCAGAGCGCTGCTCTAGAAAGCCAGGAAACATAGAAATGAAAGAATTCAAATGGAAACCCACATGACCAGAGTGATACTTGGCATTTCCCTAAGTATCTGTTACTCAACAAGCCAAAGCTCAGTGGCACACCAGAAATTGCATTTTTTAAGGGACTAGTAACTCAGATGGTCTCCTCCATACTCCTAGCTCCTATCCCCTCTCAGCTCACTACTGCTGGGAACCTGACTCAACCTTCCATTGTTCCTGGGACCTCCACCCCCAGTCCCCGTTTCACACTGGGACAGGCAGCTCAGACAGACAGCAAACTCCAAAGGCAAGGACCTCCTGGAATGGAACCTAAAGCATCTTGTGCTGAAAACACCAGCAGCAGAGGTAAGGAGTAGAATGCTCATAGCTGTCTAATGTGGGCCTGCCTGTCTAGGCACGTATGGCCACCCTAAAATATCTAGGGGTGTAGAGAAGAACATTGGCGATGGAGAGGATATCCTACAAATTGCCATGTTAGGGTGGCCCAAGGGGCCCACTAATCCAGTATCCTATCTGTGACAGTACTCTGTGCTTCACAGTGTATGGTGCCTGTAATGAACAGCTATGCACTCACCTCTATAGGAGAATATCACTCTTTATGTCAGGCCGTGAGTGCTGGGCACATAAAAGATTATAACCCTTCTACAGTTTGATCCGAGCTAATGAAACTGGCTATTTTTATTAGTCACAAAAATAGAATTTGGATCCTATCTTTGGCCTCATTTCTATTTCCATGGACTGAGTTTCACTGACTTAATTATGCATCATGTGAAATGAATTATTTCTATCAGTCTCAGGTTTGTGATCTTTTAATTTAATTATGGAGCCTCTGTTTCTTGTATTAGCAAAGAGGATCCACAGGCACTTCTGACAGACCCGCTTTCCTTATTTGTTACCCTATATGCCTCCTCTGTGTTACTTCTTCCTCAACTTCCTCAGCGCCATTATATTCTCTCCTCTAGAAGCTGGCTCATGCTGCTAATCATTTGCATTGCTCTGCTCTGGGCCTTTTCTATTTCTGCTATCAGTTCAAACAATGGAATTCTCTGCCTGTCAGTCACTCAGAGCCTGCTCTAGCTGCCATTACAGCCAATGGATAGAATCCCACTGATTTCAGCTGGGAGCCAGATCAGTGCTCAGATGGCAAGGGATGTGCTAATCCAGACTATTTTACGAGTTTTGCAGAAGCCCCGTTTGCAGGAAGGGAGACTTCACTCCATTGGGGTCCAGAGTTCACTCATGCTGTCTTAACTAGAAATGGGGTCAGGGCAGGGGTAAAATACTTTTTAGGTAACTGCTTTACTACCAAACTGGCCAGAAAGTTACAGTTGCTTGGGGCAGATTTCCATTTATGGACAAGGATTTTCATATCATGCTAACAAAACTATGGCACACAAGGTGAAAGTTCTGCAGAGGCTAGTGAGAAAGGAACTAGGAGTGACTGGATGGGGGAAAATCCTTTGGTGGAGATTTGGAAAATGAGAAGCAGCAGAGAGAGGCTGAGTGCCCCTGTGCCAAGTCTCATTTTTATGGGGTACACTCAAGTTCACAAAGGGTTTCCCTTGATGAACATGTAATATGCCTGTAGAGCAGTGGTAGGCAATTTCGGAGTTCTATGTATGGCCCATGAGACATTTTGTTTACCGTTGCCCACGTGCAGGGTTGCCAGATTCTGCTGGTTTCTGTCTGAGGAGTTTTTTTCCCTACTGATATTTCTCAAATGACATGCACGTAAAGCCAGGACATGAGACAACAGTGGCTGTGAACGCTGTGTGCTCATCCAATGGAAGCACTGCTGTGGCTCAGTTGGATCACCCTGCAAATTCTAGGTACACAAGCTCAGTTAGCAAAACTACCTTAGTGCAAGAGACCGTGGAGACATTTTGTTTACCGTTGCCCACGTGCAGGGTTGCCAGATTCTGCTGGTTTCTGTCTGAGGAGTTTTTTTCCCTACTGATATTTCTCAAATGACATGCACGTAAAGCCAGGACATGAGACAACAGTGGCTGTGAACGCTGTGTGCTCATCCAATGGAAGCACTGCTGTGGCTCAGTTGGATCACCCTGCAAATTCTAGGTACACAAGCTCAGTTAGCAAAACTACCTTAGTGCAAGAGACCGTGCTGGTTACAACAATCTTGTGGCCCACTGTGATAAAGGAGGCCACTCGTGCATCCCACTCACTAGCCTGGGTTGCCCATCACGGCTGTGGAGAGCTATAATCAATCATATACCACTAGCAAGCCATTCCCAGGTGCCCTCCGATATTGAACCTTTAGAATGGGGAATGCAGGGCTTTAACAGGATAACTCATTAGAGCTGAAGCCCATGCTGGGACCATCAGGTAGACCAGACAAAGTGAAAAATCAGCATGGGGAGGGAGGGAATAATATATAGACTAGAGGGCACCTACATAGAAAAAGCCCCAAATATTGGGAGCATCCCTATAAAACATCTGATCCCCCTGTGGACCACTGAAATGCTGCTAATCAATTGCCAAGAAGCCCCTATCTCAATCTTTACTAATCTGCTAGTCACTGAAGCTCAGGGTAACTCAGCAGCTTCTAAGCTGCTAAATGCCAGGGATGGTACTGTCCTGCCTGATCACTCCCTTCTAGTTTGCAGGCATTGTTCACAAAGGTTTTTCAACCCCATTTTGGTTGCAGACCTATTACGACTGCTGGTTGAGGGTGTCTCAGTGTTTATATTGTCCTGCAACTCCAAGCATAGGCAAGTGGTGCCCGTGCGGGTACAGGGAGGGCCACCCAAAAGGGCAAGGAGGAGCACCCCCAATTTAGCAACTAAAATTATGGCAAGGATATGGGGAGTGGTGCCCCTTCCAGGTGCTACCATGAGTCAGCTGTGCTTCCAGGAGATTTGCATCAGGCTCTTTGAGCTCTCTGAGGCCAAGGAAAGTTATTAAGGAAAATCTGGGGATATATGGCAACCAAGCAAGCCCTTTTGAGCACACTGTGTTCTCATTTAGGTAGGAATCTCTCTAGACTAGCCACTCAGGCAGTGGGGGTTGAGTGAGCCAGTTTTTTCTATGTTTCACTGAACTAGTCAAGCTGAGGGAGGATGTGGTCTGCCCTCTAGATTTCTCAGCTGGGCCTGGTTAGCAACTGTTGAGAAACTTCCTGCAGATGTGGGGAGGGAGAATTCTTTGAGCTATGTCTATATGGGATGAGAAAGGGAATTCTTTTGCTTCACCATTGAAACGGAACCCTTTGTCACTTCATATGTAAGTCCTGTCTTCAGTTTCTCTGGATAGATAACTGCTGGGTTTAGTAGGGTCTGTAGAGGATAACTAAAGTCTTTGTAAAATCCAGAGTCCTACAGTGCTGCACTCGTAAACTTTAAAATGGCAGGGTTCTGAGCAATAGGTCTCCTCTCCCCATGCTACTAGCTAGGTCCTTTCCAATTTTTTTTCCTTTTTTTTTTCTTTTTTTAATAAAAACAACACTATCCAGAAATTGACATTTGCAAAAACATATACATTGTAAAAGGCAGAAATAAAAAAGTCTCCTACTTAAGTAGCTCTCACTAGAGACATTCACTGGATACAATACTTTGGCTTGCCATCTTCCAATTTCTAGTGTCCTGGCTGGAGGGTGAGGGGGCATGGCTTTTTGTCCATAACAGAACACAAACCATAGGTTTTAATCAATAACTACAGCTGTTTTAAACTGAACAAATACAATTGTAGAAATAGTGTCACTTGTATTAAAAAGCCCTCCCCCCCCCATCTGAAAATTATACCCTGGTCTGCCCCCTTCCTCTAACTTCCTTTAAAATGCAACCTCTCTCCCTCATTTTCTTTCTGAGTACTTAACAGACATGGGCACTAGACTAAATCAGTGTAATTGCTGTTAGTTGGACAATGATTTGAGTTCACTCTGTAGTACACTAAACTATTTAAAGGAAATGCCTTTTACATATTGGCAACTTGCTGTATGTATAGCAATCACAGATCTGTATCTATAGCCTAGATGCACCAGTACATTCAAGAATCTCAATTAGTCCAACAGCATGACATTTATCTCTGTATCCTCGTGTTCTCATAGTATCCTCAAGTTATAGTTACAGCTTCAGACCCAATTTGTCTGCATCCTCTAAATGTTTAGGGATCCTTCATTTCACCACATATAGCACAAATCAATTAGCTGTGTTATACTGGACTTTCTATAAGCATCCTGTTTCAAAGGGTAAGATGCATTGCCAATATATATGAAAATTTAGCTCTCAACTAGTTGTTTGCAGTACATTAACTGGGACATCCAGCAGATGTGCACATTTTGCCAATGGACTGACAATCCTATAACTAGAGCAAGATCTGCCTTGCTGTGCAGGATTTCTATAATCATATATCATCAGGGAATAAGCCATTCCTAGGTACCTAGATTTCCTTTTGCTCTGTATGTGCATTGTAGACCAGGTCAATTTACCTGTGAGGATTTTTCTTTTTACAATTTTTTTTGTCTTACAGTTTGTGTCTTACATCACCAGTGCCCATTAATTATTGTACATCATTATATAGGTCACCATTTAATCATAGCTGTTTATTTAATAAAATCAGGATGGCAGGAGTTGTGTAAGTGTGGGCTTTGGGAGGAATATGAAATTTTAGAGATGAACAGAAATATGTTAGAAATGACACTAGGAGCTCTTCTGTGCCATAGAAGTAGCTGTCATACTAAGAAAATAACCAGCTTTCTTCACCGTGTGACTAATAGCTGCTCACACTAGAGCTCTTTTTAAGCCATTCACTTGATCAAAACATTAAGTGGCTCCATGAGAGTATTTAACTGTGTCTTTAAAAAGTGGATAGGTGCTGTGAATTAACACCCTCACCTCATCCTATCCCAAATATTTCTTTCTTTGGGAAAATGTAGTTTAAATAATACAAACAAGCCATATAACAATATGCAGCTAAAGAAAAAAACTCTCTTACAAGACAATGATGTAATACCTGAGAGACATGTATTGAGCCTGATTCTCCATGCACTGATGTTGGTTTTATGATGGCGTAATTGTTGAAGTCAAATTAATTACTTTGGCATAAAACCAACCTAAGGAGATGGATTGAGAGTGAAGTGAATTGGGGCTTCTTATATATGTGATATTTCTCTAGTTACAGCATTATCAGCTGAAAATTCACCAGACCAATGAATATCTTTACAAAGAAATATCCATAATACCTGAGCTAGTCCTCCAGCATGTATAAGGGTTAAGTCGGGCATCCAAGAACAACCAGGCACCAGTAGGCCATACAGTGCAATCATATAATAAGGCACAGAGTAGAACATGTATGTCAGCATCTGCATTTTAAACAAAAACATTAGCTGTTTTGTGTTTTCCAAGAGGTCTATTTAGGAATCAGCCAATTGCTGACAGAGAGACTGAAATATTCCAAAATTATGTTCTCTAGGGGTGCGTCTAGACTGCAGCTTTTTTTTTCTGGAAAAACAGCCATTTTTCAGCAAAAACTTCACTTACGTCCACACTGCTATTGCGTTCTTTTGAAAGAAAATTGAAAGAACACAGGGATTTTCTGACATTGGTAAACCTCATTCTACAAGGAAGAACGCCTTTTCTGAAAGAGTTCTTTTGGAAAAAGGCGTGTGTGGACGTGGAGGAGGAAGTTTTTTCGAAAGAAGAGAAAAGAGGAAAAAGCACATGTGCTCTGTGGCCACTTCATCCATAGTAATCACAGCTTAAATGTGAGATAGCATCCATTCAGTGTGGATGCTATCTTTCGAAAAGCAGATTGCTTTTTCAATGCGCTTCAGAAGAAGTTTTTTCAGAAGATCTCTTCTGGAAAAGCTTCTTCCAAAAGAAGCCTGCAGTCTAGACGTACCTTAGGAGATGTTTGCCAATGATGAAAGATATCCCTGTAGATCAGGGTGGGTAATTAAAAAAAAAAATGGCAGCTTGCAGGGTTAGTCCCTGGCGGGCCACCGCTGCTATGTTCCCCTGCGCCTCTACAGGTATTGGAGGAGCACAGCTCTGGCTGGCTGTGAATCGCTATTCGCAACCAATGCATGCGGCAGGAAGTGTTGCGGACCAGGACGCCGCTTCCCCCACTTGCATTGGCCACAAATGGCGATTTGCAGCCAACGAGAGCTGCAATCTTCCGATACCAGCGAGAAGCAACTGCTGACCTAATGCCTGTCTGAAGTGGTTCCAGGTGGCCTTTTATGTGAGAGATGCTTTCTTTCAAAAAAGGAGATCAATTTTTCAGTGCACTTGTGCTGTGTGGATGCTCTCTTTTGAAAGACGTTTTTTCAGAAGATCTCTTCCGAAAAATCTTCTTCTGAAAGAAGCCTGCAGTCTAGACGTACCTTAGGAGATGTTTGCCAATGATGAAAGATATCCCTGTAGATCAGGGTGGGTAATTAAAAAAAAAAATGGCAGCTTGCAGGGTTAGTCCCTGGCGGGCCACCGCTGCTATGTTCCCCTGCGCCTCTACAGGTATTGGAGGAGCACAGCTCTGGCTGGCTGTGAATCGCTATTCGCAACCAATGCATGCGGCAGGAAGTGTTGCGGACCAGGACGCCGCTTCCCCCACTTGCATTGGCCACAAATGGCGATTTGCAGCCAACGAGAGCTGCAATCTTCCGATACCAGCGAAGGTGCAGGTAAACATGGAGGTGGGGACCCACCAGCGACTAACCCTGCAGAAGTGCCTGCTAGAATTTCCCCACCCTGCACTAGATAAATAGAACATTCTGAACAGATTCTGTGTTAGTACAACCAATACTCCAGAATCCCACCACCTCAGAGTGAAGTTCTTTCATTCAATTTGTTACCAGAATGAATTTCTCATAGGAAAGTCAAATCCCTTATTTGAGGTTTACTCATATGGCTGCCTCACTGTTCAGGACACTATGGACTTCAGTGATTGTCATTTTAAAAATAGAAATCTTGTGGGTATTAAGAACTTTCAGGTCATCCCCCACCCTCAAGTGAAGCTCGAGTAAACAGGCTTTGCAAGGGCTGCTGTGAGGTTTTCCAGGAAAGAGGAATGGTAAATGTAGGACTAGATTTCCTATTTATTAGGTTGACCAGGTGCTCAGTTTTAAACTGGAACATGAGATTGAAAAGGGAACCTGCCAGCTCTGGACAGCAGCACGGCCTGAGCCATTGACTGATCAGCTGGTGATGTCACGTAGCAGGGCTGCAGGTTCTCGCTAGCTTTGGTGCTGCGTAGCTTCTGGAAATCAGCTGGCATATACCCCCTCTTGCTTCATGCTAAGGTGCTCCCCATGCTACCCCCGCCCAAGCACCACCCTCACAGCTCCCATTGGCCAGTAACTGCAGCCAATGAGAGCCATGGAGATAGCGCATGTGGACAGGGCAGTGCACCTGCAAAGCCACCAGGCCGTGCCTCTGTGTAGGAGCAAGTGCGGGGAGTTGCTTGAGTTGAGTTCAGCCTGGAACCTGCACTCTGACCCTCTCCCAGACTCGAATCCCAGCACTGATTCCTTGCCTACCCTCCAAACTTCTCTATCCCAGCCTGGAGCACCCTCCTCCATCTCAAACCCCTCAGCACTGCATCCCAAACCCAGCCCCATTCTGAAGCCCTCACCGTGGATCCCAGCCCCTTTCCCCAGCCCTGGTCCCTCCCCTGTCCTCCAAAACCCCTCAATCCAAGCCTGGAGTATCCTCCTGAACCCTAAACCCTTTAGCCTCAACCCAGAATATGCACCTAGAGTCAGAGCCCTCATACTCCCCTGCACCCCAACAACCTGCCCCAGCCCAGCACTACCTCCCAAACTCCAAACTTGTCACCCGCACGTCAAAGCCTGCACCTCCAGCCAGAGCCCTCACTCCTCCCACACCCCAACCCTCTGCCCCAGCCAGAGCTCCCCCTCACCCTCTGAATGCTTCATTTCTGGCCAGACCCCAGAAACCACACCTCCAGCACAGAGCCCAAACCCCAACCCTCTGCTTCAGCCCAGAGCCCCCTCCCATATTCTGAGCCCCTTGTCTCCACCCCTCTGGTGGGAGCCCCATCCTGCATCCCAAACACCTCGTCCTTGCCCCAACCCAGAGCCTGCATCCCTAGCTGGGAACCTTCACCCTCTCCCATACCACAGCCCACTGAGACAGGGAAAATGAATGAGGGTGAGTGGGCAAATCAAGCAACAGAGGGTGGGGGAATGGAGTGAGAGAGCAGGGCCTCAGAGAAGGCCCAATGTGGGCGTATGGCCTAAAAGAAGGGTCTGGGCATGGGTAGGACTTCAGAGGAGGGGTGGAACAGAGGCAGGGCAGGGGTGTTTGGATTGAGTAAAAAGTTGGCAACTCTACTATCTACACCACCCTTGCACCAGTTGAGGATGCTAGTCACTAGGGGTATGTCTACACTACCACCCTAGTTCGAACTAGGGTGGTTAATGTAGGCAACCGAAGTTGCAAATGAAGCCTGGGATTTGAATTTCCCGGGCTTCATTTGCATCTTGCTGGGCGCTGCCATTTTTAAATCCCAGCTAGTTTGGACTCCGTGCCCGTGGCTACATGCGGCACAGACTAGGTAGTTCGGATTAGGCTTCCTATTCCGAACTACCGTTACTCCTCGTTGAACGAGGAGTAACGGTAGTTCGGAATAGGAAGCCTAATCCGAACTACCTAGTCTGTGCCGCATGTAGCCACGGGCACGGAGTCCAAACTAGCTGGGATTTAAAAATGGCAGCGCCCAGCAAGATGCAAATGAAGCCCGGGAAATTCAAATCCCAGGCTTCATTTGCAACTTCGGTTGCCTACATTAACCACCCTAGTTCGAACTAGGGTGGTAGTGTAGACATACCCTAGAGGAATCCTCATTTGGTGCCTCAAAGGCAAGTTTAAGTCCACTTTGCATTTCCAGAGGAGCACAAAGAGGCTACAGAGGGGCAAAGGATTGGCCTGGGAATATATGAAAAGGAGACTGGCTGGTCAAATGATAGACTATGTAACTCATCCTTGCGGGGGCCCTTTCTGACTCCAGTCCAGTTCAGTGATGAACAAATAGTATCTTGTCATGAGGCTGAGGTGAAACGCTCAATGGTCTCAGTCTCACTCCCAGTGGACAGATGCCACATCACAATTAGCCCTCTGCACTGGTAAGCCCCATAAACCCTATGGCTTCACAGTTGTGCCTGTTCACCCATCCCATACTGAATTGCTAGTTCTTTACCTGAAGTTTAGGATAAGCAGCAGGATCCTTGATATAGGGCTCGTGAAGCTGAATATATAATCGGCAGAGTTCAGCAG